AGTTGGATGTCTAGCTCAGCTCACATCCCAGCTACATCAGCTGATCTCAAACAGCCATCAATCAACTGATGGAGCAGTTGATTGATGGAAGGGAGTCAGCTGATAGATCACATGATTCCTTTATGTGCGACCAATTGGCGAATCTCACTCAGGTCGCCCTATTTAAACTGCTCTGGCCTGCCTACTGTTGCTGCTTCCTCTGCAAGCTGCTTTGCAACCTGCCTCCACCCCAGCTCCTCCTTTTCATGCTGTGTCTGACTTATCAATGTAATTTCTGTTTGTCATTGATGCTGCTCTGTTCTGTTCCTGGGGGTCTTTGCTGCTGCTCTCCCTGCCTTAGGCTTTCCTTGTAGGCGCATGGAAGGGCAGGGAGGTTTGCTCTTTCTGCCTTAAGGCTTTCCATGTAGGCGCGTGGAAGAGGCTTTCTGTGTAGGCCCTGAGGAAAGGCAGGGAGGCCCCAGAACAGAGCCTTACTGCCAAATATAATACTGCAAATGGAAATAAAATTTTCTTTGACTTTAGTGTTCCTGACTGAACTATAAAGTTGTCACATTAAAAAACTGATTTACTTTCCAACAGTGACCTGAAACTGTTTTGGAAGGCACAAACAAGTGATGTCATCGTGCTGACAGAGGCATCAGATCAGAGAACATGGATATGGAAAAAATAAGTATTTTGATGTTTAATTTTGAGGATTTGTTGTGCTCTTGTGATGTCCTGTGTAAATGCTGCCATAACCATGCTATCCAATGAGTCTTTCAGGACTCTATCAGGGAAGCTGTAGTGGTTAAAAACTTACAAAGTAATTGTTTGAAAAGATGAATAAACTACAATTAACCACGTCGCAGTTGTATGCCTTCGCAAACCCGTCAAGTTACACTTACAGTTTACTTCCATGTCCGTGAAATTCCCTTAAGGCCTTCTTGAGATATCAATTTCCTGAGAATAGACAGACAAGGTCACAGTGACCTTGACATTTGACCTACAACCACCAAAGTCTAATCAGTTCTTCCTGGAGTACAAGTGGACGTTTGTACCAAATTCTAAAAAAAAATCCCCCGGGCGTTTTGGAGATATCCCGTTCACAAGAACAGACAACCTGAAAACACAATGCCTGAAAACAAGAGTAATGCCTAGTTCACATTACACGATTTTCACCCCGATTCTGACGTCGCAGAGGATCTTGAGAGCCACCTTGGGTCGGAGGTGAGTCGGCAGATAATCTGCCACAACGAGTCCTCGTGTGTGAACAAGCCTACGAGCAAGTCGCCTCCTCATCTGAGACTGGGACTGGATATCTGGCATGCTAGAAAACTGGAGAAGTGTGACACGACTGACAAAGAGCATCAGCCAATGAGAGGCGGGATACGTCCCACGTCAGCACGCAGGAGGACGGAAGAAATGTGAGGAGGACAAGCCACAGGGTTGCCAGGTCCGCTTATTAGCCGCGACTTTGGGCTTGTTTCTAAAGTGGAGTTGCTTATTTGGGCTTGCTCTCTAAACGTCACCTTTCTCTATATGTATCCGTCTAATAAGTTATTTAAACGCATGATAGTTGCTTCTTTTGGGCTTGTTTCCACAGCCCTGGTTGCTTGTTTCTCTCCCAAGATCTGGCAACACTAGTTTGGTGATGTCACCGCGTTATCTGGGGCTCTGTCGGCGAGGGCTCGGTGGAGAAATCTTGTGGTGTGCACACACAGGTCGTAACGCAGTTGGCGAGACTCCCGCTGACAGAAACACACGTCGCCAGGTATGAACACTCAAAAGATTACGATAGTCTCCACGACGCAAAATCAGGGTGAAAATCACGTAATGTGAGCTAGGCTTAACTTCTTGAGATACTGCATTCACAAAATGAGATGGATGCAAGGTCACAGTGACCTTGACTTTTGACCACCAAAATTTAATCAGTTCATTGTGAAGTCCAATTTGAAGTTTGTGCCAAATTTAAAAAAAATTCTCAAGGTGTTCTTGAGGTATTGTGTTCATGAGAATAAGACATACTAAGTCACAATGACCTTAACCGTTGACCTATGACCACTGAAATCCAATCAGTCCATCACTGAGTCCAAGTGGACGTTTGTGACCATCCCATCACCATCCCCTTCACCTACTCGTGAATAAGTAAGCTCATATACTACGTCAATTTTGATACCTGTGAAATATACAAAAGTAAGGTATTCTTGGTTTGCAGAAATGTACAATGCCCACATTTTCTTCTGGTGACTGGGCTGCTCTCTCAGCTATCAAATTACAGTACAGGAAAGGGAACAAATGTGACCATGCTGACGGAGATAAACAGCATTTTCACATTCACTGCGGTTTTCCTCCAAAGATAACATGCTCTTAACTGTCCTGTCTCACAGCTTGGAAGACACGGCCGCTATCAGAGCCGAGCCAGGACCCGTTAGCTCCAGCCAAACTCCCAGTGAGGCCACCACTGGAATACCAGCCTCTAAAACCAGCGTCAAACCAAACAAACCCAAAACTTTAATCCTCCTCCCTCGCACTTGGCTACTGTTGCTCTTGGCTGCCAAACAAGGAGCTCCGTTCAGCGACGTCCACGTTTAACAACCTGGAACCAAAATCTCTCGACTTGTTTGGGCTTTATCACCTGTGCTTTTCATCACCTGGTCAACACTGTAGTCGTGGAAACCTCAAAAACAAGCTGTTCTCCAAGGATACTTTAAACCTACCAAAGACATGATGGAGCAGTGAAAGTTTGTTCACTTTTTTGATTTGTTTTCTCTGATTGGAAGAGATTTACTTTATGAGTACAGAACAAAACTGCTCTGAAGTTGTTTCTTGCAGTCGCAGTGCAGTAATGTGTCGTGTTAAACACCTGGAAACACTTCAGAATTCAGACACCTGCATAAATACTTTGTTAATGTGGTGGCATTAAAGGCAAGTCTTAAAGAAATGAGCATTTTCTTGGAAAAAAGGTGACACCTGCACAAAGTGATCCAAGCCAAACAATTAACTACTAGGTGTTAGCTCATATAATGAGCTGTGTCTTTGGAATACTACATAATGAACATCAGGAACCCTTTTCTTCTGAACTTCATTTTTTAAATTCTGAATCCTCCTTTTAGCTGAATCTGACAGAAATGTTACATCCTGTGTTGCAAAGGATAGCAGCATCTAAAATAACTATTGGCTACTATAGTTCGTGGCTTAACCACAAAGGCTCAAAATACAAATCTGATGCAACAGAATGAAACTGACTTTCATGTTATTTTCTTTATGTAGACAGAGAAACAATTGGTTATTTTAGTAAACATTAAGACGAATAAAGGCGAGTGGAGACTTAGATCATTTATAAAAGGTAAGAGTCTCACTCCTACCACTATTTTTGGCTGAGATATACCATCTAGAAAGTGGGATCATAACTTTCACGTTTCATATGGCTTTATTTGGTGATATTTTATGGTGTTTCTGTGTCATAAACAACATCAGCTATCATAATCACACCTGATTTCAATAAGGTACAATGTTTGAAGCTGGCTGAGTGTTGTTTGATCACTGATATTACTGTTTTGAAGCTGAGTGACCAACTTGTCATTTGGAGCTCTGCCTGGATCTTTTCATGGAAAAAACACTGTAGAATGGTCATACTTTGAGCAATCTTCTTCAAATTTGAAACAAATGTTCATTGATAGTGTGCCTACAGCCCCACAGTGTCATTTACCTGCTCAGATGAAGCCACAGACAGTTATTCATCCTGAAAAACATTTTTTATTTTATTTTAGGCAAAATCTTCATTTTTTACTGACTTCAGAGGCCCATTACTCTGTCTCTGTATCACCTAGAATGTTTCTGACACTTTCACAAGAAACTTCAGAGAGTTTTCTTTCTGGCAAGACCCCATGCATGTAGTCAGAGCAGTTCAGCAACACAGTCATTTTAATTTGGGTATGTCATTTTAGGCGTTTTTGCTACAAAATGGGGGTGGAGTGCAAGTTAACACGCTTTGAGCACCACAAGCCTTAACTGTAAAGAACATCTAGGGCCGTTATCTCGAAGTGAAGGCAGGCATCTCTATGGCCGATATCTCCAACACTCACCAACTCACACCAAAACAATGTAGACGGATAAACAGCACTACAGGTAAGAGGAAAAATGTGTTATTTTGATTCTGGTGTGAACTGTCTCTTTAAAATGATTAAATTTGACTTTTTTTTGCAACACATCATCTCCTAAAAGGTTCCAAAAGGGGGTTTATGTGCAAAAACTACTAAAAAATGTCTGTCAAAACTTATATGCTGCAATCTTTGACAGTAAAAAAGCAGTCAGACAGGTTTATATTTTGTTGTGAGAAACCTGCTGTGTCTGTACACGTGTCTCTCGTGTATTCGACTCAACACAATTACACATACCTTTGAATCAAGTTCACACGTGTGTTTCACACCAGCAAACCTCGAGCTAAACCTTCACTGTAATAAATCAGAGACAGAAAGCCAAACAACTTTTGACAGGATATCCACAGGGATCATCACTGCACGCTGATCATTCCAGGAGAGCACGTCTCCATTCGCATCCCTGTGTCTCAGCGTCAACGTCGAGCGCTCTGACCGTGCCATCACCTTCTCTTATCTGCCTGCGTCTAGACGGTTATCAGTTATGTAACGATTGAGCAACTTCAGCTTTTCATGGGGTATTTGCTTTTAAAAGAAGTCAGTGTACCCTGAGCTGTCAGCCCAAATGCTGATACTGCAGATAGAGGTGAGTTTGTTTTGGGGTTTTGATAATAGCTGCAAAATCAGATCCAGAAGTAACAACACCACAGAGTGCTTCACAAGCTCAGCCAGATCCAGTGGCCAAAATCAAACTTTTTGGGAAAAATCATGCCTGGCCAATACATCAAGGTCAGCAGCATCGAAGACTCTTCAATGCTCAAAATAATCTCTGATGGGAGAGTTTGTCAGTGTTTCCCTCAACATTCAAGATGCTGAGAATAAGTTAAAGTCAACTAGTGTGGCGAAGCTTAGAAAAAAACTTACATAGATGTGTCTCTGCTGGTAGCGCAGGAAGAGGTTGTGCATGATGGCGCCATCGTGAAGGTCTTCGAGGGTCGCCATGTCCTCCACCCCTTTGATGCTGCTGTGGTGCATGGGCTGCACCTTCTGTCTGGTGAGCGCATTCTGCTTGTAGGTGTAGACCTGAATCAGACAATGGAGAAATGTTAAGATGTGAGCCATGCAAAAAATGAATTCATGAGTTATGGCTAAAACATGTTTTGTGTGGTCACAGTGACCTTTGACCACCAAAAACTAATCAGTGCATCTTTGAGTCCAGGTGGACATCTGTGCCAAATTTAAGGAAATTCCCTCAAGGCGTTCTTGAGATATTGCAGTCAGAAAAATGAGACGGAAAGACGGTTACAACAACCTTGACCTTTGACTACCTGAATCTAATCAGCACATCCTTGAGTCCAATTGGATGTTTGTGTCGAATTTGAAGAGGTGTTCCTTGAGATATAGAGTTCATGAGAATGGGACAAACCAGGTCATAGTGACCTTGACCTTTGACAACGAAAATCTAATCAATTCATCACTGAGTCCAGCTGGATGTTTGTGCCACATTTGAAGAAATTCTATCATGGCGTTCCTTGTGATATAGCATTCATGAAAATGGGATGGACGACCTGCCTATTGCCTACTGCCACGGCTATCACCAGCATGGAGGCATCATAACTACTTGAATGTGTCAAAATGAGGACATGCATGGCTGGCACTGTCAACCTGAACCTTCATTTTTCTAGAAGAAAATACAATCCCAGTTTTCTCAAGTTTTAGAGAAAGACATACCCCAGAGGGTAATCATTTTAAAATCACAGGAAATCATTCGACTCTGTTTCCTGAAGTGTTGTTTGCAGAAGAGTTGGCCCGTGTCAACTTCCTCTTTAAGTCTGGTCCAGTTTTGGGTCATCTGCTCACTGTTTGAAGGCCAGACTTGGGCTTCAGGCTGCCAGGTCTCTACCACAAGTTTCACATCTTTAGTTTCCTTCTTTCTTCTTTCTTCAGCCTCTCTGTTGGAGTGAGTGAGCCGATCCAGATCAGATAGAAGCAGGAACTCCAGACTACAGCAGCGTTTCATACTGTAAGTGTAAAAACTTGCAAACTTCCAGAAGCCCTGAGATACTGAATGATATCAAATCTGTAAACCAAAACTCGGTAAACTACCAGAATGAATTTCCCTCAGTTACTTTACTGACTTTCTTATCAGGGATTCTAGGAGTAAAGATCACAAAGCAAACACTACAACCATTTGCAACGCATATTTCTGTGTTGCAGTAATAATGGTGCATGATAGAAAACAGCTGGGAAAAGAACCTGGACCAAGGCGAATATATTAAGACACAGCAGCTTTGACTTTCCAGTTTTTTGGTGTTTTTAAAAAACAAAACAAAACCAAAAAAAAAAACCGCCCAGATATTTTGGATGTTTCAAAATGATCAGATACGGCTATTTTTTTTTTTTTTTGCAAATACATTATAAGATAATCGGGTGTTGTTTTCATCTCCCAACCATATATCCTCAGGGGAAGATTGTGTGGTGGTAAAACTCTGACAGTAATCATAAATTGAGGTACCTGACCTGTTGACGCTGACAGCCTCTCTCTGTCTGACTGACCTGTCAAACAGTTCAACTGTATGATTTACAGCAGAGAGAATCCCGACTGACAGATTCTATCTCATGTTACTGCAGGAGTGTAAAGTGTGGAAGGAAGCCTGGAGGTCAGAGAGACGCTCCTCGAACATTCAATCCAGGAACGTTAGCTGAATATTAGGGGGGAATGTTTAAGAAGGGTCAAAATTCACAGTGGTAAAAATAGATCACTGGTTGAAATGTAGACCGGCGTGAAGCCAGGTGGAGGTGAAATAAGGCTGCTGTCAGTGGTGGAAGAAGAAGTCAAATCCTTTACTTAAAACAAGCAGCATCCTTTCAGATCATTTAAAGTAGGAAAGGAGGCAAAGAAGAGAAAACATGTAGAACATTAGGGAATAAGGAGGTGAGTAAACAAAAGCTTTGTCCCCATTGTCCAATCAGATGATTTGAGAGGCGGGCCTTCTGTGGTGGTCACAACAAGTTTAGAGTTGGTAAACAATAGAGGAGAAACTGGTGGTAGCGGTTGCTGGATATCCAGAGTTATATGGCTGGACGATAGACAGCAGGTTGCCAAACTCTAGTCATCCTCAAATACACCTGGAAACATCATGGAGGCGATGCTCCTGGACCAAATGGTGGTACTCCCCGTGATCCAGCCTCTTTTTTAGGGTCTCATGTACCCACACAGATCTCTGTTTCACCCTCAATCTGAGCTACAGCAAGTACCCTCTGCCTCAACATTTCAGGAACTAGATACCAATTACTAAAGGTGTGTTCACACCGGACCTGTTTTTTTTTCTCTCGCTAGAGATGAGTTTACATACAAAGTCAATGCAAACAGGTGATTGAGCTTATATTCTGCAGGCTGGGCGCCCCAGATTCAGACGTCCAAAACCACATAATTGAAACCACAAAATATCTCCATACTGCTCGTCCACTACAGACGAGCAGTATGGAGATATTTTCACATCTCCGCAAGTGATGTGAGGACTCTAAAACTTCACCTGAGCCTCCCTCGGCATGTGGGTGAGTAGATAATGGCTGAATTTTCATTTTTGGGTGCACTATCCCTTTAAGGTGCTTTCTGCAACCAGCCCCAGTACCTCAGTACACAAGAACAGTTCTTGGATAAAAGAACGTACTTGCCTCCTCTGGCCACTTTTGTCTGTAACTATCATTAATTGTATCCTGAGGGCAGAAGCTCTACCTTCCTCCTCTGGCTCATATTACACATCTCCTTCCACACAGGTGACATATGGCAGATAGCGGAGGTAAATATGACCCAAGGCTGGTAAAGGAAACCAAGTCAGGAGCTGGACGAGGGTTTCAGCAGATGGCTGCTTATCATGTGTGTCTGAGGACGAGGATGACACTCTTTGCGCAGCATTTGTCCTTCAATGACAAGTTGAAACAAGTGAGAACTGATTCTCTCCAATCAAATCATTTTACCCTGATAAACACATATTATGTCTGTCATTTTCACCGTCTACTTCAGTTATAAGTGTTTCAAGGTTGAGTTTCAGCCACTGTGCCTCTGTCAAGACTACGGAGTTCAAATCATAGTCAAAACATTTTACACAAGTCTCAACTTTAACATCAGTATCAAGTTGAAAGGACATTTTATCTTAAGAAATGTGTCTGAGATATAAAAATATCCTGAATCAGCTTGAGGCGTGACAGATGTTAATGGTGCAGTTCATTTCTTGTCAGATTTGAGACAAACCAAGTCCGACACATTAGTCCTACAGATACAGGTCGCTTTGGAACAAAGTTGGTAAATGTTAATGCTTTCTCTTCTGCATTACATTTGACCATTTCACCCCCAAAAGTTGCTCTCATCAGGATTTAAAAGCCTCCAAAAAAGTGTTTTGCTTTTCGGTTTTATTTGGAGTAACAGGCACTACGAAAAAATGGTCTCCAAATCCAAAGCAGATGCCGCAGTAGGACTTAGATGACTGAGCACCACAGCAATGAGCGTTGAGGAACAAATATGGAGAATTGAAATACAAGAATATTGAGGAAAAGCACTTCAACATTTAGACAAAGAGGTTATTCTTCTGTCTTCTACAGTCTATCATTAACATGAGTTGAGAGTTTTACACCACAGGACAGCTCAGTCGTGTAAAGGACGAGCCAGTGAGGCTTTTTAAGAGAAGACCTCAAATTATAAGTGCTCTGCAGGAGGTCTGCAGCCTGCAGGAGGACGCACAGAGATCACTGAGCGGGTGATCTGTCACTGCAGCATCACAGAGGTTCAAAGGAAAAAGATCAAATCTCTCAGCGGACGGATCAAACTTCAGTCAATCAATATTTTGGAGGAAATTGCATTAGAGACATCCTCACTGGCAGTAGCTGTTATTTACATTCTGGAGTTCTTCTGTGAAGTTTTACACTTTCAGACTTTAACCACGTTGGCTTCTGGGTGGAAAACTGAGAGCAGCCAAACCCGGTGCTGGCTCAGCCTTTTCCACAAACAGCAACACCACAAGGAATATTCAGTAACACGAACGAACACACAAACACACAGGTCTGGCATTTCTTGGAGTCTTTGATGTATTTCGGTGGTTTCAAACCTCTTTGATCAGTGACCCTGAAAAACAAAATGGTGTCTACTCTTGACCCTCTGTCACAGGTGTATTTACATCTGAAGCTCTCAGCTTCAGCTAAAGTGCAGATGATTTAATTTAAACTGCTTAAAGGGACAGTTCATCCCCAAATTAGCCTGATGTGTTTACAGGCTTAACTGTAAAGTTATGCTATTGAGGCACCAAATATATCTTTATAACAGGATTAAGATATTTAAAGAGAAAATACATGTTTTCATTTTACCTGTGGTGCTATTTATTCATCTAGATAGTTTTGGTTTGAGTGAAAAAAAAAAACGTATTTTTCATCTGCGCTATAGCAACCGATTGAAATTGCAAACTGTGAATGGGCATATCTCATGCCCCTTATGTTGTAGAGACATGAAACTTTGCACTGAGATGCCTCTCCTCATGAGGAACACATTTGCCTCAAGAACCCATAACTTCCGCTTATATAGATTTTCCGCCATTTTGAATTTTTTGAAAAACACTTCAAATGGATCTCTTCCTAGGAAGTTTGAGCGATCTGCATGAAACTGGGTGAACATAATCTAGGGACCAATATCTAAAGTTCTCTCTTGGCAAAAGTTGGAAAACTTACTAAAACTGAGCTTCTATAAGGCAATGAATATTGCGGAGGGCGTGGCTCATCACATAAAGGTGTATAACATCTCAAGGGTTTCACCCATCACCATGCAACTTTGTAGGCATATGACCACACATAATCTGAGGGGACCCCTCCATTATTGACCCCATCAAACAAAATGGGGGCGCTAGAGAGCTCATTTCTTATCTAGGCCTAACCGCCATATGGATTTTTACTAAACTTGGTAGATATGTAGAACAGGACGCCTCAAGGTGACTGGAGAAATTTAACTCTAATTGGCAACTGGGTGGCGCTATAACAACAGAAAAATGCTTCAAAATGGCTAAAATGCGACCGATCGCTGTGGCTCCCCCTGTGGA